TTGTCAGCACCATTATTATTATTATTTATTACTGTTATTTTATTATTATTGTTATTATTATTATTATTATTATTATTATTATTATTATTATTATTACGGTCATTATTATTATTACAACTGTTATTATTATAATATTATAATATTATCATTATCATTATTACTCCTACTGATGCTATTATTATTGCTGTTATTTTCATTATTACTATTACCGGTATCATTGTCATTATTATTGTTATTATTACTATTCTATTGTTATTATTGTCATTGTTATTATCACAATGTTTCTTCCTTGTGTGCTACCGTCATAGCTGTAGCTCTCTTCTTTTTACTGCCGCGATCATTATTTTTCTTGAAAATCATAATTATCTTTATCGCTAGAAATTATGGAAAAGTGTTTCGGTGGTGTTTTATTGTGAAAATTTCGGTGTTTCATTCATTTCGGCTTTTGTTAATTTCCATAATTATTTTATTTTTCGTTTAAGTCTACCTTGTTTTGCTGAATTTCTGGTTTGTTGCATTTTATGAATCTGGTTTTCTATCTGTTCGTTATTATTTTAGGTCATATTTGGTGGATTGTTCCGCATAAACCAGATCATATCCTTGTTGAAAAGTATTTAAAATATGGTTTAGATCGAAGTACTTTTTTTTCCCACTTCCTTAATTTTTGCAAAAAAAGGTGTCGGAGAGATTTTAGATTGCATTATTTTTGGTGGGCTTCTTTAGTTTTCTTAAAAAATCAGTTTTTGTTTTTTATCAACTTGAAAAATCCTCTATATCTATAGCTGTCTTTGGGCAGCAGCATTCCAGAAAGGGTTTAAAATTTGTTGAATTTCCTGTTCTCTTGTTTCGTTCCTGTTTGTGATATAGCAGTGTTCGTTCCTGTTCTGGTATATAACAAGTACTTTTTTTGCTGATTCTGTCATGAAACTGTGAAAAATCAAGTCCCGTTTCTTGTGAGAAGATTATGCGATACCATGAATATTTCACTTGTTTTTTATTGTTTTTCCTGGAAAAAAAAAAGGATTCTTGGATTTTGCAGTTGTTTTTTTCCTAAAAAAAAACATGATCTGTTGGATTTTACAGTCGTTTTTCTTTTTTCGCGAATTTCTGTTACTTTTAACTTGCGTCACTCAGCTGAGAAGCTCTTTACTGGAATATCAGTGAATTCACAAAATTTAGATCTATGAAATCCCGTCCTGAAAAAAAATGAGCTTTTGTATACTCCAATATGCATAAGCTTCCTTTCTGAGCCGAAATATGACCTGGTTTTTTGCTCTAAAATTTTTTTAGCCAAATTTCGCAAACAAATTTTACGATGGAGTTAGATTTTACGTTTTATTTGCTAGGAATATTCACTGGGGAACAAAATTTTTGTAGGAGAAGTCCGCTATTTCATCGGTATGAAATCAAAAAGTCAAAGCCCTCTCCGTATTCCCTCTCCTTGGAAGATGGAGACGCGGAAATAGCCCGAGTAGTAGCAAGTGCCAAGAGCAACCACGTTCTGGCAGACCTGTTGATAGCTTATTTTTATGTGTATTATTTAATTATAGCTTTTAGAAAAAAAGTTAATTGTGGAGAAAATGATTCGACGTGAAGCACGGCTTCGGCGTGAATACATATATCGAAAAAGCGTGGAAGCGACGCAGCGTGCACTGGACGAGAAACGACAGTTGGTGAAGAAATATGTGGATGAAAACAGGCCAATACCAACACATCTGAAAAAGGATGCAGTGGAATTGCAAAAAAATGCTGAATGGGGAGGTAAAGCTTTGCAGAAATACTCAATTTTACCGCAAACTTAGAAACGAGTGCATTTTGCAGCGAACGACCACCCTCATCCGTCCCTAACATCCAGTTCATTTACATATTTGGATTTTTTGATGAACGACCGCTCTAGCAACATTTTCAGTTTCCAGTGAAAAGCTGGAACTGTATGTTGGGAGAGGATGGTTTTTAAATTTCTGAATTTGGTTTTTGCAAAAAAATAGGAAAAGAGGCACCTGTTTTACGTCTTCGTTTACCGTTTAGCTATAATGGTGTTATTGTACAGGTGAAATTTCAACGGTGGATGATGAGTATCGGTATGCCGGTGCTGCAGATCCAAAAATTGTGCTAACAACAAGTCACCAACCTTCTGCTAAGTTAAAAGTTTTTGTGAAAGTAGGTGCTTTATCACTTTTGGTCCTTTGCGAAAATTTGTAAAAAGCATTGCTTTAGACAGCCAGAATACGGATCCTTCCTATTAAACTTCGTGCCACATCTGCGATTTTTATGGGATTTGTTATAATTTAAATCCTTAGTACAATTTAAATTTTACACATTTTTCAAAGGGTTTTTTTTGTCCCAGCATCTGTTTTACAGTGAGCTACTACACCTTTTTTTACTTTTTGGAACCGAAAGACTCTTCAGGTAATGTGCCCTAATTATCTTAGGCGAATCCAGGCCGGTTTCCTGGGAGAAGGGTTTGTACGATTTTTCTTCCTTCCCCTCCCTCTCCCTCCCCCATCCCTTTCCCCGTTCCCCTCCCCTTCCGCCGCTCCCGCTTATCAGCTCTACCAGAAGCGATTGGAGGGAGGGGTAGGACAGAACTTCATCCGCATGCTGCGTTTGGTCTATGGTACACAGCTAAGAGATTAAACAGAAACCGACTGAATCAGAAATAATGAATCAGAAGTAATCAGTGAAAGCAACCAATTTTCCAGGAGATGCGTCTGATGTTCCCGAATGCTCAACGTATCAATCGTGGCCATTATGATATCAAAAAGCTTGTACAGGCTTGTAAAGCCAACGATGTAAGTTTGGATATTCATGGGTTTTTTTTTTTGAATATTCATGGTTTTTTCCCAATCCACTTATCTTAGCAAATTGCAGAATAGATTAGGATTGCATCTAGAAATGTAAATTTTAAAAATCTTGTTGGGATGAGCTTCTGAAGCACAGTTGTTTGGCCAGCGAAGACGTCAAGACTGCTTTCTTACCTTTTACTTGACGTTTGGGGGTGGGGAGGGGGAGTGGGTAAGAGGAGGGAGAGGATGGTAAAAATTGTTTTGTTGGAAAAAATAAGAAAAATTAGGCTTACCTACCAAAATTCCGTTAAAAAAAAAGCAGGATATGAACTCGCGGCTTTCTTTTCAGGTTACCGATTTCATATTATTGCAAGAAACGCGTGGTAATCCGGACACAATGATTGTTTGTCACCTGCCGTTTGGACCAACTGCATATTTCACGCTAACAAATGTGGTGATGCGACACGAAGTACCGGACTGTGGAACGATCTCTGAGGAATATCCCCATCTGATATTCAATGGTCTCACTTCACGCCTCGGTCGCAGGGTATCTTTTTTTTGAATAAAATTTCACTGCTTCCCAAGAAGCCACGGTGGATGTGTGGCGAATGGACCATGAGCAGCAGCAATTCTAGCTACTTTTTTTTTTTTTTTTTTGGAGAAATATCTTTGAAAGAAACATAATTTCATGGCTGTATATTTTTTTTTGTGGAAAATAATGAAGTTGGATTTTTTAGGTTTTTACAATTTCATAAAAGTTTTTGACCTAAATATTTTGTACCAGCACGCATTTGGGAACATCAGACGCATTTCCTGAAAAGCAAAACCACCCCTCGTCTATCACAACGCTGATATTCCTATTTGGAATGGTCACTTCTTGGTCGGCCTCCATGGTTCTTTCTACCCG